ACAGAGAATGAGAAGATAGAGTAGGAGAAAATATTTCCAATACATAGAACTAACAGAGAATATTTGCAGACCATAAAACGAACTCTTCAGCAACAATAAGTAAGTAACCTTTACGATGATTTTTGTAAACATGAAACTAATTTTTAAAATAGCTTACTTTTTTAGAGGGTGAAAGAAAAAGAGCAAGAAAGACAAACCACCCTCTAGAAACAGGCTGAGACATAGAACACTTTCCAAAATACAATATCACAAAAAAGGTGCTCATTAGTAATTATGGAAATAGAACTTAATATATCACAATGATTTACTAAGCACTCACTGGAACAGCTACAGTTAAAGACTAACAATATCACACATTGCCAATACACAAATTAGATATGAATGAATAAGCATTTTGTCCACTATAGCTCAAAGTATGTAGGATCACCCAGCAATTGCCAGAAAGACGCACATATGTTCCCAAAATGTAGATAATGTTTTGTTGAACAGTATGACATGATGTTAACAGCACCTTTCTTCTTGACACTTATCTGAAAACAGTCTTAATGTAAGGGCAAATGCATAGTGGTACAGTCATATAATACAATAGAACATTATATAACAACGGGAATGAATTATTGGTGTGTGGATGGATCATTTCACTGACATATGTTGAGCAAAAAGAAGATGCACAGTTGTACAGACTATATAATTCCATTTATATAAAGTGTAACAGCAGGAGAAACTAATGGATCATGGGAGAAGACAGAATGATGTATATTTTTGCAGGGCGAGAATCATGCCTGAGGGAGGCTCAAGGGGGTTGTCTGGAGGGCTGCCAGGAACCCATTTCTTGCGACAGTAGGTGGCAGTTACATGGGGAGTATTCACTTTTTGAATATTCATCAAGCTGTACATTTCCCATCCGTGTACCTTTTTATGCCCAGAACCTGTCTGGCAAAGCCTGGCTTCCTTTAGAGAATGGTGGGAGAGTCTGAGCAAAGTGGAGATGCACAGACATCCACCTAGTGTCTCCTTTCGAGTAAGGGGATTCTGTATTATTGATGTAAGTCCCTTCTTGCCCACTTCCTGGGAAAACTTTTCATGATTTCTTTTCCCAGTCATTCCTGTGTGTGCTGGTGCCTTCCACTGGTTTTGTTTATTCTAATACACCACCAAGAAGCTGTTCCCAAATCTGACCTTTGGTGCTGTTAGCAGTTACCAGGATCTATCTAGTCCCTGCTTGCATGTCTCCTACACAGACATTTTCCTCTGACACCTCTCAGGTCCCATCCACCCTGAAGAAAAGAGTTCTTTACAGTACATTTGAAAGATCCAACTTTACTTTCCTCCTCCTCTCCCCTCCCACAATCCCCCTTTTCCTGCCTTGCTGTGGGCTTCATTCTGGAGGACATTTCTTCTTGTTAAAACCTCCCCATGGAGGGCCAAAAATAACTATCAATTTATTTAAATGCCAGTGTATATGATTGGCATGCAAAACTGAGCATATTTCATGTATACAATGTGGTGAGTTTAGAGACATACACCTGTAAAAGCATCTCCACTATCTATGTCACGAGGCCCTCCTTTCCTCCAAAGTTTCTTCTCGTCCTCTTCCACTCATTATTTTTGTGAGTAACAAAGACACAACAAAAGATCTACCCTCTCAGGACATTTTTAACCATAGGTGCTATGCTGTTCAGTAGGTTTCTAGGACTTCATCATCCACTATGGCTGAAACTGTACACCCTCCCACTATCACCTCCTTGTTTCCTCCCCTCCCTATCCCTTGGCAACCACCCATGCATTCTACTCTCTGCTTCTGAGTTTGATTGCATTGGACTCCTCATATAAGTGGTATCAGGGTAGTATTTAGCTTTCTTAAAAATTAATAACTTATTAAGATGGCTAAAAGGAGAAATTTTATTAGTGTGAAATTGCCATGTGACTCAAAAAAATGTATTTTTTTCAGAAAAGGGGATGGGGAGGATTTGTGGGTTTTTGTTGTTGTACAAATACATGATGCAAGGGTTTTTTCCTACCTGCTGCTTATGTGACTGTAGACTGTTCAATAACATTCTCAGTAATAGAAGAGGGGCTAAGCACATGAGTAAATACCATCACATCCTACAACTTGACATAGACATCACTTGGGTAAGCCTAGAATGTAAGATGCCTTCCTCCCTTTCTCTCTTCCTTTCTCCAATCCAACTTCCTCATTTTTGCTTTATACTATCCTCCTTCCCGACCACCCAAGTAAACTAATGTCTGATACAGACTCACATATATCTCTGCGTGAACCAAAACACTGAATGAACACAAATTGAATTTGAGCAATGACCATGTTTATAGGCAGATTATTTCATTTCCAGTTTGGACCTAGGATCTTAGAAAAAAAGTATAAAGAATTTGCTCTTTTCATACTTGGATTGCAAAGGGGGACATTCAATTCAATTACCTTAAGAATCCATTAGCTAATGAATGGTTTTTCAGTGTTCCCAGAAAAGTTTGGCTCAAATGCCTTGGTGGGCAACTACTCAGTTTAAAACGAGCCAAAGTGGGAACACACCAGGCAGGAGGTGACCTGTAGCAACCCACATTGTAAGTCAGAATGTATCATTTGGTGGAGATCCAACACCAGAGAGCTGGCTGGACTAAAGAAAATGCAGCTATAAATTCTATCCAAGCAACAAAGCTACTAAAACTTGTAATTCTTCACTTTGAAAGGTGAGTGAGTAATTGAGTTCCTGGAGAATCTGTATGAATTGCATGCTTTGTGTATAAGGAGTTGATAGGAGTGGCCTGTTAACTGAAGCTATAAAGGTTTTCCTAATTTCTAGCTGAAGACTCAAGTATTTATATTATAAGCCTGGAGAAACAAATTCACAAGTGCCATATTATTGAAGGTTCAAATCATGTATTTCTTAAAAAGGCTGCCCTTAACCCTCTAGGGAATATTCTCTCTTCCTCCTTATCATTCTGCCTTGTTTCCTTATTTTTAAAAATTTATTGACGGGGCTGGGGTTTGTAGCTCAGTGGTAGAGCGCTTGCCTCACATGCATGACGCACTGGGTTCAATTCTCAGCACGGCATATAAACAAATAAAGTAAATAAAGGTCCATTAATAACTAATAAAATATTTTAAAAAATTTATTGTCTAGATAGATAATTCCACGAGAATACAAGGCTATTCTGCTTTGGAGCAGAAACTCATCTATATTTATAAATATTTTTATATACTTATAAAACATTTACAATCATATTACAGCATTATATATAATAATATATTGATATAATATACAACATAAATATACATTATATTACAATATATATTTATAATAAATCATTATTTGTTACATTTGTTATATATTTATGATATATAAATTATGTATTATTTATGTAAGTATTATACATATATACACAACTTATAACAGGGTATAGAAAACACATTATTCAATATTCAACTTAAAGTCTAACTCACTAATGACCACATATCCTTACGGATTGTTATGGTTTATATAACATCAGCCTAAGTATGAGATAATGCAGGAAGGTTTACAGATGAAATGACTTGGTTATGAGAGTTTTAACTTACTTAGATTATTAATTTCCTGATAGGGATTAACTGGGTTGTAGGTAGAGTGTAGCTGGAATAAAGTAGGTCATGGGGGGTGGGACTTTGGGGTATATATTTGTCTATGATGAGGAGAATCTCTCTGCTTCCTGGTGCTGATAGAGGAAAAGAGATGCAAATGGTGGGAACAGGAGGTTAAGAGATACATTCTATTGAATGGGCCCACTGTGCTGACCCCACATACTTCTTTTCTAAGAAACAATTTACCTGTAGCCCTCTCTGGCTCAAGTGGACAGGATATGTTACATTTCCCAGAAAACTACCTGTTATCTAGAGGAGAAATGCAGGTCAATAAGAGGAATCCAAGCTACCCTGAAGGGAGACACCTTTGGGACCCTGTTCACAGACCAGATCCCAGAACTCAAGGAGATAAGGAAAATTCCTCCTAATCATAAAATCCGTAAGAATTATGGTTCAGAATTCAAGTAGAACTGGACAGCATGGACCAAGGTGACACAGAGTTGTCCTGGCAGTGGAGTCTTGAAAACCTGATGTCACCATGCTATCAGTCAAAAGTCAAGAGGTGGACCTGGGTGGACTCTCTGGGAACTTCTCTCAGATCCCCCAAAGAAACTGGAGTGCAAGAGACACACACTGTCCCTCTGCTCTCTGAGAGGACCCACTCTTTCCCTTGAGTGTGTCCCCTTTCCCTTTTTCTATCCCTTCCATGGACTCACACCTGTTGTTGAGCACCATGTCTGAAATCTTTCTGACTTGGTCAAAAGAAGCAGGATTTGAAGGGGGTCTTCATGTTGCCTCAGTTTCCTGGAAGGCCCCAGCCTTGTAAAATGCCATTTTTCTGGCTGCTGTCTTCTGCCACACATGTCCACCCTGATGTTCTGCTCATCCATGAGCCCAGATAAACTTTTCCTCCTTAAAATTGTTCTTGTCAGTTCTTTTAGTCACAGAGGTGAAAAAAAAAATCTGACTAAAACACGGAGGGACACATTTTAAAATCTCCTAGCTCTAAGAATAGAGGTTCACGTGGGGATCACCTCATAAAGCTTGTGAATGAATGAAGAGCCCAGGTACACAAGCAACCAGAAACTTTAACTGTGGGCTGAGACTTACAGGTCAGAGGGCTTTAGTTTCTCTAAAGTGAGAATGACACATTTCAAGGTCACTTCCATCTTTTAAAGTTGAGATGTGCACTTTGGATCCCTGAGGCTATAAACCAAGCACTGAAAATAACTCACAGCTGTCCTTCCCTTATAAGTAGTCAGCCGTTCCTGGAAGCTCCTCAGCTCACCTGTATCTCCTCTCGCCGAATGTGTGCCAGGTGGTCCTTTCCCGTACACATTGGTAGGCTGTATACAGCTATGCAATTCATCCCCTCTCAATTCTCTGGACACTTGCCATTCATTTATTTTTATCCTTATCATTTCAGCCACCACCAACCATTATTGATGCCCTGTGACGAATATGAGCACTGTGATCTACACCAGGAGGAGACTCATTGCGGTAGGCAGAATGACAACCTTCCACATCCACATCCCAACTTCAGAGCCCATGAGCACAAACCTACCTGGCAAGAGGGGCTTTGCGTATATGATTGTTAGACATTTTGAAATGAGATTATTCTGAATCACCCAGGTTGAACTGATATATAATTACAAGAGTCGCCTTTATAAAGAGGCAGGGAAGAAAGGACAACAGAAGCAGAGGTTGAAGTGACAAAGGTCATAAGCCAAGTGTGAGCAGCCTCTGGAGGCTGGGAAAAGCAAGGAAACAGATTCTGCTTGTTTCCTTCAGCCTCTAGAAAGAACTCAGTCCAGCTGACACCTTGATGTCAGATCAGTAAAGCCCATTTCAGTCTTTTGACCTTGAGAACGGTAAGATGCTAAATCTGTTGTTTTATAACTTAGATAGTATAAAAATCTCCCAATGGTTTCCCCTATTTCTGATTTTTTATATCCTCCATGATCCACTAAATTGATTTTCATAGAAAAGCCATCTGACCTTAGAAGTAGAATCTTGGGGTTACGGATTAAAGAGTCATTCTCATCACTATTGCACAGTAAAACAACAGAGTATCAGCTTCGCTTAGATACTTTCAGTCCCTCCCTCCACATTCTTGTCCCCATATAGCCCATCATCTGGAGGCTTATATATTAGTTAGCCTTTTGTTATTTGAATATGACTCTTCTGATTGTATATATTGCTACTTACTTTCCCAAAAAGGAGCTAAATAGTTTAGACCACTCTATACTTTCTTCATTATTTACCATTTTTTTCTAAGATGCTGTTTCTGTTCCTACATTGTGCTTCTCACAATGTTATCTGAATATTTTCTTTCCCTGAGAGTACAGTCCAAAAACCATGTCCTAAAGTGCTAGCACATTAACTAGAACTTGTCTCTCTTGGAGCTCTACTTTTTATCCATTCATTTATTCCACAGATGTTTGCAAAACACATCTATATGCCAACTGGCTTTCTGGTGATAAAGGGATAAAACAAAAGAGAGAAGGTCCTTTTTGTGTGTGACAGTTCAGTGAGAGAGGGAGATATTAGAACCACATTAATTAATCATTAAATCTCCTCAAGTGAAAAACACACATTGCTATTAGAACAGACAACAGGTCTAATGAACCAACCTGGGAAGGGTAGAGAAGGTTTCTCTGACTAATCTATCATTGTTGCCAAGAAGTTATGTTAGGGTGAGAACAGGATATAGCGGAGGCAGAGGGTAGAGCCCAGGCAATAATCAGGTAGCAGAAAGGAACACATAGAATTTGAAAGAAGGGAAGGAAGTTGGGTTGGCACAGAGTGAGCATCCCAGAAATAGAGAAATATAAAAAAAAGTAAAATTTTCAGGTATCTCCACTATTTAGCATTCAGAAGTTTATCTGAAAACCAACAATTGAAATATTTTAAGTGCCTGGCAGGTGGCACACGCCTGTAATCTGAGCAGCTCAGGAGGCTAAGGCAGGAGGATCTTGAGTTCAAAGCCAGCCTTGGCAACTTAGAAAGGCCCTAAGCAACTCAGTGAGATCCTTTCTGAAGATAAAATATGAAAAAAGGGCTGGGGATGTGGCTCAGTAGGTAGGTACCCCTGAGTTCAATCCATGGTACAAAAAAAAAATAATTATTTTAAGCAGGAAGTTGGAATAATCAGATATACAATTCCCAAAGATCTCTGATTGCAGAGTATAAATTAGTAACAAAAGAGGACACAATAGAGATGAACTGAAGTACTCCAGGCATGGGCTTTGATTGTGTGGTAGAACTGGAGAGAAGGAAACAGTCAGGAGCAATTTGAGAGGTAACATCAATAGAACATAATGAAGGACTAGATACGGGGACTAAGGGGTAAAGAGAAGAAAGATACCTGCTAGGGTTTGGGCATTAAAAAATAGGATCAAATGTGGAGGTGGTAGAAACACTCCCTGTGGGAAAACCAGGTTTGAAGCTTTTGAGAGTGTAAGATACCAATAACTAATTGTTTATATGGCATCTTTCACAGTCAACCTGTGTTGTCCATCTAGGATGCACTGTGCACCACCTACCTGCATCCATTGCCTATAGTAGACAGCTACAAAGTATTGATGAAGAGAGTAAATTCCCCCAAATCTTGGCCATCCCTCACCACACTTGCAAAGAAAGGTGAGAACAGTAGTAAAGTCACTTACAAATAGTACAAGAAACGTCTTTCACCTGAATCTTTGGACCAAATATATTTCCTGGGAGTTTATCTCCTATCTGAATTTTCCCCCTTTGGTACTATGAGGGAACATCATGGCTTTTTAATGGCACCTTATCTGCGTGCCTGGGTATATCCCACATGCACTGGAGTGAGTCACCTGGGGTAAGTGGTGACTCACTGGGGTAAGTGAAGGAAGGTCTAGTCTAGAAGTGAGGAATCCTGATTCATTTTCTTGGATTTGCCACAACTGAGTTATATAACTTATACTAAAGCACTTAACTTCTTTGATCTGTAGTTTTCTCATGTGTTACTGGAGATTACCCCCCAACTTCAAAAGAAGCACTTAAACTGGGGTCTCCAAGTATCTGTAACTGTCTTAATTCCATCCTGATTCACATAGCTTCTCCCTGGGCCTCTTGCACTAGGTTTTTCTAATGACATCCTCCCTTCTGCATGTGCAGAGCTCAGCCTTCTGTGAGGGAGGCAGAGGGAAAAACTCTTCCTACAGGCAGAACTCAGGACAGTGGCACTGTGGGGCTCTTTTGTTTGTTGCCTCTTGGACAAGGAAGAGGGATTGGTGGTAGTCTCTGAGAGCCATAAGCAGCTACTTGCAAACACAATGTCCTCTCCCATTCTTCCCTGCTTCCTAGGTCTTAACCATACATACTTTTTTCAAATTTTCATCTGAGACAGGACAGGGTAGGAATAAAAGCCTGACCTTAGAATCAGCCTTTGAGTCTTGCTTAATTATCATGTATCAGCAGTGTGATGATGGGTAAGCGACCCACCATCTATCCCTGGGGTTGATTCATGTAAAAACTGAAGAGGATGTTAATAGCACCTAATTCCAGAACTGTTATAAGGATTTAAGTGTAAAAGAATAAATGCAAAGTGTCTTAAACAGTATATGGGTGATAGAAAGTATACCATGTCATTAGGCTGTTATTATGGACTTCAGTAGTGGTAACAAGAATAAGGGGAAGAAAAAAAGGAGAAGGACGACGTAGGGTTGAAGAGCTTTCTTGCCTAAGTGCTGTGCATAACATTTAAAAATCAAGATGTTGGGATCTAGATGTGCTCCCATCTCATCCCTGGGTATCTCCCAACCAAGCAGCCTGACTGCTCTTCCGGAACTTCTTTTTATTTATTTTTTGACAGTTGGAATGTTTTGCCTTTCATTCCCTATTTATCATAATTGTATCCATCTTTCTAGTTTATGCTAAATGGCATCTTTGTGACACTTTCTCCTATTATCCAGTTGGACTTAAATTCTGTTTCCCTCTTGTTTGTCCATGTTTTATAATTTTTCTCATATGGCTCTTTTCATTCCACTACATATGAGTTAGTATTTTGCAATTCAGGATCCCCAGCCATAACCTAAATTCCTTCAGGGCATAAAGCATCACCTCTGTCCTCCTAGAGATTATTTTTGCCCTCGGTATCTACTGGCTTAATCTGACCCTTAAACCTAAGGCAAGAAGCTGCCAGAGAAGCCCCACATCCCTCCCCACTCCTCTTTAAGCACAACTGGTTTCTTCAGACAGCTCTACTCACATCTCATATACCTGCGAAAAAGTCCCAGAGGACAGTGATGACAGCCATCTTTATTGTTTTGAATAAAACTCATAAATCAAAGAGAAGAAGGAGACAAACAATTTCTGCTACTTCTTTTTATTTCTCTGAGGTGGGACTATAAACCCTTTACCTCTTATCTCCAAATGGAAAATCAAATCCATGTGTCAACTTTACCCTTAGGCAACCAGTATTTGGATACACAAAGATGAGTAGCTCAACTGCAGTGATTCCAGGTTTGAGCAACAGAGAAGGGTAGAGGATGAGGCATTGCAGATAAAGTAGACACTAAAGCCCGAGGATGAATACAGGAGTGAGAGACAAAGTCAATCTTTGAAACTCAAGATCTTCAACATATTCTTCACGACATGCTCTGAACAAATACAGATTTCATTTCTGTCAGTTGAAAAAATTTTTATTTTACATCAACAACTGGAAGAGTGAAATCCAGCCAAAACCTTAATTTGCATATGCTTCTCTAGGGAGTACTTACTGTCATTGTGGAAGGTTTTAAGTATTCCAAACATTTGGCATCTAATTTCATCTTTCTCCACTATTTAACATTCAAAATTTTACATTCCTCACTCATAAATCACTTATGCTTAGTTTCTTGGCTATACCTCAATGGTCTTTGCAGGCATTTTAATTTTTTAAGTAATTAAAATAAAATTCATTAAATAAAGGAAGGTTTCTCTCTTTTCCAATTCAATTCTTGGTTTCACTTTTTTTTTTCCTTTTAATTTTTATAATAATATAGCTAAGCAAGTTAACTGGGAAGCAAGTCAAACTATTGTGTTTGAAAAGAATGTGCTGGAATTTTTTTTAAATGAAATTGAGAGATGAGAAAATTTTTCAAAGGACATTGTTTCTCCTATAAGTTACACATATATTAAAACGCCTATCCGTTTTGTTCTAGTTAATGTCAATTATCTTACTTATATGCTCAAAAAGAAGAAATTCAGAATGGAGGTCAGTGTCAAGGTTATAGTTTATGAAGGAAAATTTAATTTATAAAGGGAAGGAGAAAACAATCTTCTCATCCCTTGCTCTTTCGTTGCTGCACACTGGAGGAAGATGATCTGATTTTGCCTGCTAGACTAGAGAATGGTCTGGGGAAAGTCTGCTGTCCTTTCAGCACCTCCACGCTCTGTGAGAGGAAAGTTCTCCTGAAGAAGGCAGCAGGGACTTCTGCATCTGGGAAAGATCACCTTTTTCTCAGCCCTTTCTAAGGTCAATTTTATTCCAT